ATCTCACGGCAGCCGTGGACGAGCTCGTCGTAGCTACGCAGCGCTTTGAAGAGTCGCTTAAGGAGCAGCGTCGTATGTCGTAAGTTACGAACAACGTGTCTGGGGTAAATTGGGCCGAATTTAGGGTGAATTGCACCAGTTACGACTAACGTATTTTAGGTGAATTTGTCTAGTTACAACCAGCGTAACTAATATCAAATTTCTCTAGTTACGACCACTGCAACTAAAATATATTGAATCCTGGTCCGACCAACCTAACTGATAGCAAAAATTACGACTAATGTAACTAATCAAAATTGGTGAAGTTACGACCGACGTAACTAGGAAAATTTGTCCTGTTGTTGTAACTTATTTTGAGCCCACTCAGTCAAGAAGAGAATTTTACACAAAAGCTAAACAACTTGTCAACTTACGACCAACCTCACGTATTCAACATGTACACCGCGCGCGAGTATCGAGGAGCGCGATGCCATATTGCCGCAAAGCAAACCACAAACGCGTCATCCCGAGCAACACACACGAGCTTACACACGCAACCAACGCGCACATGATCTTGGCTATTTGTTCGGATATTTTCTTTGCGAAATATCTCAGTTACTCCCGACCAACGTCTTGTAGTAACACTGTCTTTGCTATCCCAGACCAACGTCACTCTGTCTTCTCCTCTTGTAGAGCTATGCGGGTGCGGTTTGTCAACGAGCAGCTGATGGCCCTGGAGCGAACCTTCGTCCTGCCCGGAGGACTGCCGGACCGTCCCCTCTACAGGTGCACTATGGACTGTGTCTCTTGTGTAATACCAATAATACTGTATAATCCTCATTGAAATCTTCTAATTCTTGATTACTCGAAGTCTCGTAATCGTTTTCTCTAAATGAACCAGTACAACAAGACGAGAAGAGAAAACTACAACCTAACCGACTGGTTATAGGACTACAACAGAGGAACGATGCATTTTTTATCATTTCAAACAATTTCTTATACTTACCTTTTATAATAGGGTTATTTAAACCATACGTATTTTTTTCTCGATCGTGATTTGCGTTCTAAGACGCTACTTTTTTACCTCTTGCAGACACTCTGTGTTCTCGCCACCACGATGGGATGCGTACGCGGCCGCCGGGTTCTCTGGACTCAGTGACCTCCTGCACGACTACGACGAAAACGACGCTGCCAGAAAAGAAAAGATCAAGAGGCACATAAACGAACTAACCATTCTCACCCAGCGGGCCTCGGCCATTCTCAAGGACTCCCCCGTCCTCTAATATATGGGCAACTTTGAGGGAAAACATTTTTACTGGGGGACATGAATCGGGAAATGGACTCCTTTGAGAAGAACCACCTTTCTTAAAGGAGGGCCTCTAACTGAAGAGTATCCTTCACGAGTTGATATCCTTATTTGTATGTTATCATTAGATGTATCCTCCACAGAAGAGGTTATCCTTCATCAGAGGGTATCTTTCATGAGAGACATCTTGCAAGGTAATGGATTGCTCATTTCTTTGAATTAGGTTTGGCACTGAAACCCCAGTCCTTTTCCATACAAAGTATACTTTGTGTAAAACGCTTCTATACAAGGAATGCTTTGCACTCTAATGTTTGACCTCATCATGTGTAGGGAGCTTTCCCTAGTTCGGAGGTCGCTGTTCCCGATCGGTATTAAAAGACGTTCAATTAAGAATGTTCAACAGTTGGTAGGGTTTATTAATTTAATTAATATAGTAACAATAATTGCGAAATTAGATTGTGAATTATTGTCTTAATTCAATAAAAAATTTCCTATTTATGACAAAACATTTTCAAACAGTTTTCATTCGGTGAACCAAATTATCAGCAGATTTATTTCCCCTATAATATAGTTATTAATAATTGTGCATTGATTTTGTAGCATAATAATCCACAGTTATACAAATATGGTGCGATATTATTCAGGTTAAATCTAAATCAGACGTATTATAATAATGAATTTAATTGTACAATAAATAAAAATTTTTATTTTACATATATTCAAATGATATTTTGTCTACATCCGCTTTAACTTGCCTGTGCATTATTGCATTTTATTATTCCTTTGCTATTGCAATCAGCAATTGATAAAAATTACAGTTATTATTAAATTATGCTCATCAAAATTTTTCGTATAACGGCGATGTTTAGCTCGTGAAAAAATTATTAAATTTCACAATCATTCGGGACTTCCAAACTACTGCACAGATTCGAACGAAATTTTAAATATAAATTCCTAACTACCGATCGGTGATTTTTAGCTCGTGAAAATATATTCGATTCGGAGCCATCTTCTGCATGTGTTGTGTACAAATCGTCAAAGAAACGTACGAACTTCTGACTTCGACTTCGCGGACTGCCGCCCCCATACTACCCCTTTCTTCCTCACTGCCCCTCCAGATCTTTCCACCGCCCACAGGGGATGGGGCGATATCGTCCACTTTGGGAACCACTGGTCGATATCTTGACAAATATCGGTGTCTACTCGAGCCTATCAGTCGTACGCTGTTAGCATTGCGCCAATATAGCCGGCGAAATTATGTGAAAGGAATTTTCACATCTTCCATATTATAAGGGATGATTTTAATAATTATAATATACAAACAATGTAAATTCAAGAATCACCAGTCTTGAAATAGATATTTGTATCATCAATATTCTTGGCAATAAATGATATACAATCAATATAAGAAGGAAAACACTTGCCAGCGCGATTGCTGCTGCGTCGTCAGACGCTCCTCGGTCCCCTTGTCGGGCGGGGGGGGGGGGNGGGGGGGGGGGGGTAATTAACTTATTTTCTCCCTTCATTTTAGTTCTTCTTTTCTTTATTTTCTTTACTTCCCCTTTTCTTTCTTCAATTTCCTTCTTCTTTTCTTCATTTTCCTTATTCACAAAGTTAGAATAGTGAGTCCTGGATATAGATTTTTTATGGACATTACCTACATTATTTTTAAAGGAACCTAATGGCTTTAAGGATCGCTTATGTTGATTGCGTTAGAATTTAAATTACAAAATGGGAATGTAAGCGACGCTGGCACACGAGTGCACACGTGGCTTGATGTATGAGAAAGAACGAACGTTGAATTATGTACTGAAAATTAAAATATACGAAGTAAAAGAAGTCTACATTTGATTTTACTTCATTAATCAAATATAAGAAGTTACAATGAGAGACCAAGGCCAAATTTTTCACGGTGATACTAATATGTGCGTAATTCAGAGCTGGCTAATTCCGGACGTCACATCATCGCGAAACTTCCTTAGTTAGCCATCAAAAATTTTACGTCTGCAGTGTCTGTGAACCGGAGTCAAGCGCTAGTCAATTAGAATTAGGCGTTAGCCTGCTCTATCGTTTTCCGACAAAGTACTTTTGAAGGCTGAGAAGCCACTAAGTCACGTAGACGTTTCTGACGTTCACATGACGTGTCTGCCGTACACGTGTACGTTCCTGGCGTACACGTGTACGTGTCTGCCGTACACGTGTACGTGTCTACCGTACACGTGTACGTGTCTGCCGTACACGTATATGTGTCTGCCGTACACGTGTATATAGTCTGACGTACACGTGTACGTGCGCCGTACACTGGTACGTGTCTGACGTACACGTGAACGTGTCTGCCATACACGTGTACGTGTCTGACGTACGCGTGTACGAGTCTGACGTCCACGTGTCACTCGTACACGTGCATGTGTCTGCCGTACGCGTGAACGTGTCTGCCGTACACGTGTACGTGTCTGCCGTACACGCGTACGTGTCTGCCGTACACGTGTACGTGTCTGACGTATACGTGCACGTGTGCCGTACACTGGCAAGTGTCTGACGTACCCGTTTGTCTGACGTACACGTGTACGTGTCTGCCGTACACGTGTACGTGTCTGACGTACGAGTCTGACGTCCACGTGTCTGCCGTACACGTGAACGTGTCTGCCGTACACGCGAACGTGTCTGCCGTACTCATGTACGTGTTTGACCTACACGTGTACGTGTCTGCCGTACACGTGTGCGTGTCTGCCGTACACGTGTATGTGTCTGACGTACACGTGTACGTGTCTGTCGCACACGTGTACGTGTCTGACGCACACGTGTACGTGTCTGACGTACACGTGTTCGTGTCTGACGTACACGTGTGCGTGTCTGCCGTACACGTGTACGTGTCTGACGTACGCGTGTACGTGTCTGACGTACGCGTGTACGTGTCTGACGTACGCGTGTACGTGTCTGTCGTACACGTTTACGTGTCTGACGTACACGTGTACGTGTCTGACGTAAGCGTGTACGTGTCTGACGTACACGTGTTCGTGTCTGACGTACACGTGTGCGTGTCTGCCGTACACGTGTACGTGTCTGACGTACTCGTGTACGTGTCTGACGTACTCGTGTACGTGTCTGCCGCACACGTGAAAGTGTCTGACGTACACGTGTACGTGTCTGACGTACGCGTGTACGTGTCTGACGTACACGTTTTCGTGTCTGACGTACACGTTTTCGTGTCTGCCGTACACGTGTGCGTGTCTGCCGTACACGTGTACGTGTCTGCCGTACGCGTGTACGTGTCTGCGGCACACGTGTACGTGTCTGCCGCACACGTGTAAGTGTCTGACGTACACGTGTGCGTGTCTGCCGTATACGTGTACGTGTCTGACGTACACGTGTACGCGTCAGCCGTACACGTGTCTGACGTACACGTGTCCCGCAGGGACACGTGTAAAAGGAGTGCTAAATTACTTTCTAATTATTAATAAGTTGTTAGTTTTAACCCCTCTTCCCCCCCTCCCAGGTAACGGGGGAGCAGCGCCCCCTACCTCGCTTGACTGAGGAGACCATCAAATCTCCATCTAAATAACCCTGCAATAATATGAAATTATTCAATACATTATTCACGGCACTAATTCCTTCGTTTGCTTCACCTCCTTAAGTTTAAAGCTGTATATTTTTTCACATCCATTTTCCATAATCACAGGAAGATTCGTTCTCTTGTTCATAAAGAATTACAGAGCATGTGGAGCTTTTTTATCGGGGACTTCGTTAATAGTGACTATTGTACGGGAATTACTAACTGCAGTAACAGATTGAGTTATCATGAAAATTGGCATATATTTTACCTGTTACGAGCATGGTTATCTTATTATACTGATATTTTCTCCATTTAAAATAAACTAAATATAATTTGCCTATCCCTACCCCGTTTTTTGGCTGACTGCACGAGAGTTCATTCATGAAATAACGTCGCGTTTTCATTAGGACTCATCACTTGACATTGCCTGCCATCATGCGATATTATCGGTCGCGCAAACGATGCCAAAACATGGCGTCCCCGGAACCTTTATCGTCCAGTGGTATTTTGCAAGTTCACTGTCGAAAAACTTCTTGTAATTGCTTCGATCAGCTGTTGGAAAATGAACAAAATCATCTATTCGTCCATGAGGACGGCAAAGGCACGGTAGACCTGACCTATGAGCTTTGTTTATATAGTTTACCCTTAACGTTTTTATACGAGCGAAAAAATTGAGTTTGATGGGGTTCTATGGAGTTTTGGCTTTCCTTCCTTCAATTTCCTTCTTCATAAATTCAGACTAGTGAGTCCTGGATATAGATTTTTTATGGACATTAAGCACATTATTTTCAAAGGAACCTAATCGCCTTAAGGATCGCTTGTGTTGATTGCTATAGAATATTGTAAGCGACGCTGCCACACGAGTGCACACGTGTCTTGATGTATGAGAACGAACGAACGTTGAATTATGTACTGAAAATTAAAATATACGAAGTAAAAGAAGTCTACATTTGATTTCACTTCATTAATTAAATATAAGAAGTTACAATGAGAGACAAAAGCCAAATTTTTCACGTTGACACTGAAATGTGCGTAATTCAGAGCTGGCTAATTCCAGACGTCACATCATCGCAAAACTTCGTTAGTTAGCCATCGAAAAGTTTTACGTCTGCAGTATCCGTGAACCGGAGTCAAGTGCTAGTAAAATGAAACAGTTGCTTTCAGACTTAAACCGAAGTATTTTTAAAGGCTGAGAAGCCAGTAAGTCACATGAATGTTTCTGCCGTAGACGTGTACGTGTCTGACGTACACGTATACGTGTCTGCCGTATACGTGTACGTTTCTGATGTACACGTGTACGTGTCAGCCGTACACGTGGACGTGTCTGACGTACACGTGTACGTTTCTGCCGTACACGTGTACGTGTCTTACGTACACGTGTACGTGTCAGCCGTACACGTGTACGTGTCTGACGTACACGTGTACGTGTCAGCCGTGTACGTGTCTGACGTACACGTGTCCCGCAGGTCGGCCATGATGACGGGGGCTGTCTTCCAGGGGTGCCTCCTTTAATGATTAATTAATGAACTAGTTACTGGTTAGTTAACTAGTTTGCTTAATGGGTAGGATTGGTCTAATTTTTGTTAGTTTTCCAGTTTAAATAAAAAAAATTGTGCTCGAAACAAACTATGCATTCAGTATAACTCATTAATTGTGACTCATTAATTGCAACTCATTAATTGTGACTCATTGATTACGAATCATTAATGAAGACTCATTAATGAAGACTCATTAATTGCGACTCATTAATTGCAACTCATTAATTGCGACTCAATAATTGCGACTCAATAATTGCGACTCATTAATTGCGACTCATTAATTGCGACTCATTAATTGCAACTCATTAACTGTGACTCATTAATTGTGGCTCATTAATGAAGACTCATTAATGAAGACTCATTAAATGCGACTCATTAATATCCAAATCTTTACGATTCATTAATGACAATTGATTAATAATGGCTCATTTATTGCGGCTCATTAATTAATATTATAGGAACTCTTACCTCTTACCTCTTACCTCTTACCTCTTACCTCTTAC